ATAGGTCAACAGCGGTATCGGCAAAAAGGCCGACGGTTAACTCTGGTATGTACACCTGTATTAAATACGTAGTAGTTTTGTTGGGTTATAGTTGAATGGATAATATTACCTCTAAAATTAGAATTTAATGATCCCCATGCAGGATGGTGACTATTAAGATCACCTGAAATTAAAGAGTTATTAGAAAGCAATTTAAAAATTTCGAATAACATAAAGGTAGACACGCTCTTTCCGACACATCCACCTCTGCCTCCTCCAGCGTTCGGGGACGACGTGTCTGTGGAGGAATTCACCACCCAGGAGGTGGCCGACGCGGCCCGTTGCGCTGCGCTACAGTGTCAGTGTGATCGGGCTCTACGGGGCTACGAAACGTCGGCACGAGCGCAGTTTCTCTAGCTTGGGGAATCGGGCGCGTCCTCAGGTTGCGGATAGAGGAACGGCCTGCAGATATGCAAGTTAGCCGCGAAATAAGCAGTCCATTAATTTGGACTGACGAATAAGCGGTCGCGGACAGCGAGCCTCCGAAACGTTAATCCTGTAGATATACAGGGTAGCCGTGAAATAAGCCCTTATGGACGAATAAGCGGTAGCGTTTGTGTGAGAACGGAGAATAATGGTAACACAACCAGTGAAGTTAGCCGCCTTCTGGCCAGAGGGACTGGCTATGAGGGCAACCTCCTCAAATCATATAAATTTATGAAATGGCAACGAACGGAGTTAAAGTTACTGCATCAGGGGATTCGGATGCCCCAGTGCCGGCGGTTGGTGGGGGGTGTACTCACCAGGTGTCGTTATCAAACGAATACACGTCAAATGCAGGAGTGTTGAGGCAGGCTCCTGCAGCCAACCACGGGGTTGGTACTATGACTGCAGGGAGTGGTGGTGACCAAGCCACTCCCACCGGTGAAATAGCCAGGATGGTATTGGCAACGGATTGCGCGGACATTGGACTGGTTATGGTATCGGCCACTTCCTCAGAAGCAAAAGCGAAGCCCTCCATTTTGGAGAGGTTGCGTGGTGCTTCTAGGGGTGATTTGGTAAGTGTGGGAAACAACTCGGGTTCGACCTCTGTTGTTGTTGGTGAGGTGGCGGATCTGGGGGAGGATGATTCCCTCCGTCCCAAAAGGAAGGAGATTTCTCCGACCCTCGACCCCGTCACCATCACGCTGGAGGTTTCACCGCCCAGCGCTGCGGTCCCCATGCCGGCAACGCCTGCGCTGGTACTGGCTAAAAAGCCCAAGCTGGTGGCCCTGACGGCAATTGATTTGTTCAACGCTGATAGGTCACCAAATAGGGTGATTGGCCGGTCCGACGAGGTGCTGTTGGCGGGATTGGACCTGGCCAGAGAGCAGGCGGGTCAGCTCGAGGACGTCATGGAGGTGTACTCTCCGAATCGTCGCGTGGTGAAGATGGCAAGGGCCCTCATAGAAAGCGTTAGGGCCCTTGCCGATCTCCAACTGACACGCACTCCGGAGCGGAAGTCGCCGGCTACTGGTCCTGGTACCCCGGCGACCAAACAGGACGCGTCGTCCTAGACGGCCTGCTGGTGGGACACATATGGCCCACCACCCAAAGCCGTCGGAAACACTGAGTCCCCCCTCCAAGGCGGCGTGGAGCCTGCGGGCGTACTCCCGCTCGTCCCTGCCATTAAGAAGCGGAGGACAAAGAGGAGGAAGAAGAAGAAGGAGAGAGTGGCAAAGGACGCTGGGTGTTTGACTACGGACATTGCGGCGTCCTTGACATTCAGCTGCGCAGCCCCTAGGCCACCGCTCAAGCCCCCGCTCCGACCACCATGTGGACAGAGGTGGTGAAGGGCAAGGGGGCTAAAAAAGTGGAGCTGGCTACGACGGCTCCCAAAGTAGAGGTTCCTGGAGGGCCCAAAGCCAAGCCACCGCCACCGTCTCGGGGCCCGACAGCTGCCCAGCTTCGAGCCAAAGTCCCGAGGACGGAGGCGGTAGTGTTCGGGCCACTCAGGGAAGGTCAACGGTACTCCGTGGTCATAAAGCCCGCGATGGCTGCCGTTGACCTCAAAGCCCTGGGTGTCCAGTTAGCTGGGACCAGAAGGACTTGAACGGGAGCCGTCCTTTTGGAGGTCCGGGGATCAGGCGACCAGGCTGACAGCCTGAAGGGCGCCCTGAAGGAGCATAACGTGCGAGTCCACCGTCCGGTGATAACAGTGCCCGTCATGCTCCTGGACGTAGAGGAATGTACGGACGAGGGCGACGTGCAGAGAGCACTGCTGGACGCCCTCCGCCGTCCAGAGGACAAGGTGCTGCCGGAAATCGGGCCTGTTGTGGTCCGTGCGAAATCCGGTGGCAAAGATCGGTCCGGCAGAGCGGCGATCGTCGTGATGGACCGCGGCCTAACGGTCGCGGACATCGAGTCCGGCGACGGTTACGTAGTAACGTGGATAGACAGTATCGACGTCTTGAGCTGCTACTCGCCGCCCAGCCGCAGGGAGATCGTGGCCGTGGATTTTAACGCCCACTCCCCGGTCTGGGGGTCGGCGGACACGAATCAGCGTGGCAAATACCTGTTGGACCTGATGTCGGCCCTCGGGCTGGTCTCGGCCAACAGGGACTCCACCCCGACGTTCGAGGGTCACTCCTCGAGCTCGGTGGTGGACGTCACACTGGTGTCCCCGTCGTTACAATCGCAAGTGTCCGGTTGGCATTAGACGGGCCAAAGCGAAATGCTGGGCCGAACTCATGAAGTCGGTGGACCACGACTTATACGTTATACGGAAGCTCCGCGGTCCACCGGCTTCCGGTCAGCTGGAGGCGGAAGTGCTGGAAAGGGCGGTATACACGCTATCCGGTCGTACTTTAGCGATCGGGTCATCTCTTACGAGAGCGCCACTGACCCGAGAATCAGACCTGTTACGGGAGGCGTCTCGCAAGGGTCAGTTCTCGGGCCTCTGCTGTGGAACATCACGTACGACGCGGTGTTCCGCGTTCCGCTACCACCGCACGTGCATGTCGTCTGCTACGCGGACGACACGCTGGTGGTGGCGGAAGGCGCCTCGTCCGAGGAGGCTGGATCTCGTGTGAACTGCGCGCTCAGCGCAGTCTCCGCCTGGATCCAGCAGGAGGGGAGCGGACTTAGCCTCGCCCTGAACAAGACCGAAGTGGTCTTGTTCACGGGCAGGTACAAGTTGACTCCTCCACGGCTCGCCGTGCTGGGGGTGGAGATCCCGCTTAAGGACTCCATGACTTATCTGGGCCTTGTTATAGACAAACGTCAAGAGTTCGGGCCGCACATTACTCGTGCGGGCCTAGAAAGTCATGAATTGCCTGGCGGGACTGTTAGGGGCTTGTTTAATAGTTGAGGATCTTGTTCAAAACCAAGAATCGGAAGCTACCCGACTTCTGCCCAAATATCGTCCCTATCTCCTTAAATGAGTTTTAATTACCTGAAGGAGACACAGGCAATCGTGTACCTTAGTTACAGGGGATAGATTATTAAATAAAATTAGACTATTGTTTTATGTCAACGACAAAGTAAAGTTATATTTTAGATCTTTAGTTGGTTAGTAGGTTTACCTAAGTGAGACGGAGTTGGTTAGCTATGATAACAATTGGCGATAGACGGGTCGTTGAATAAAACAAGTTTAGTTATAATTAATATAAATAAGACGAAAGTAATAGTATTGAAAACTATGTCTATAACGGCCACTCAAAACACAACTGCCATTTCTTAGTTAGACGTCAGCATCTCCGTGCTAAAGACGAGTAGAACAGTCACATCAGCAATTCCCTCTATGCTAATTAATATGTATTACGAATTAAGTAAATGGAAATAAAACGTGTGTAATATAAGTGGTAAGAACATAGTTATAAATTCTTACAATAGAACTAGGTAATTATGTATAAAGAAAATAGGAGAAAAGTTAAAAAAAAAAATTTACTTTTTTCATTTTTATTATTATAAACTGTTATAATATGGCGAAGAAAAAAAGTTAAGAATGTGAGACTCAATTAGATGGTTAAGAGTGGATGGGGTTAATAGTAATGAAGAGAAAATATTCGAAACAGCCGAGAAGAGTTGGCTAGCTAGAGAGTAATCCGTGATTTTTCAGCATGTTGAGCAAATGAATTATTAGAAATGTAATCGAGGAAAGGACCATTAGGTGAGGACCAAACGTTATTGTTATTTAAAGCGGGAGGTATAGTATGGACAGGAAGAGAGCTATTTTTATTATAATTCTCATAGTTTTTAGATTTATTTTTTTAGAGAATATGTTCATCAAACTCGGAAAGGAGTCCAAAGAAAGAGGAGCACTGGTATTATTAGTAATACAAACATTTTCTGAAACACAATTAGAAAAAGTTTTAGACTTATTATCAATAAAATTTTTAAAATTAAAGTTGTGTCATTGTAAGACATATTTTCGATAGCCACAACTTTTTTAATCTTTTTGATGGGCCCATTTCTGGACATGAACAATCCGTTGCTTCATGTGGACCTTTACAATGAAAGCATACAGGTTGTGAGTTGTCTTGTTTGGGACAGTTGTTGAAAGAATGGTCATTAAGACCACAAAACGCATACCGCGCCTTACTTCTACAAAATTTTTTAGTGTGGCCGTATCGAAGACAATTTTGGCAAATAACAGGAGAACAGACTGAAAATAATACTTTATAAATTGAAATTTTTTCCGGTCATTTAGATGAAAGAAACTAGAGTTATACTAAGTTTGTCTGAGTAGGAGAGCTAGCGTCTTGTTGTGATGAAATTCTACGAGAGCCACATATAGAAACTGAAGATTCAACACCTTCACAAAATTCCTTTACCGTAATAGATTTATGTTCAAAGTTTGAATTATTTCGGTTTTTGGAATAATTACTGATTATTTACATATTATTATTAATAACTTTTAAGTACTTTCATTGTTTAAAAATATTATTTTTAAAAAATACTAAATTTAGATTTTTTTGTCAACAATTGTATAAAAATATTAAATTGATTGAATAATTCATATTTAATGTTTAAGTTTTGGATTAAAAATTAGTCATTATCTTATAATATACTTTTTAAAAGGGTTTTGTTTCAATAAGTATGTTGCAAATATATTTGATTTTTTTCGTACTGAGTAATATCACTTGTCAATCATCAAGACTAAATGATTATGTAAACGAAGTAAATAACATGCTTACAAATCCTTATTGGAAAGATGGTATTGAAGAATTCAAAAAGATTTTTACTATATATCCACAGTTCATTATTTTAAGCAAAATAACTGAAGACAAGATTGTTATTAATGGTCGATTATGGTTTTCAAACATAAATAATCAATATGTTGATGAAAATAATTTCCATGAAAAGGTAATACAGTATCATTTTTTATTAAGCTGTTACTATGGACTGGAATTAAAGTTCTATTTATTCTATGTAAAAGAATTATGTATATTATGCAAAAAGATGATTCCTGAATTGTGTCAAACACCTTTAAATTACCAAGTTAATATTTTTATTGCCGAACTTACTAAAATGAAAAATTCTTTACTTCATTTTAGTCGATGGTTGGGTGATCTTGATTTAATAAAGAACAATATTTACGAGGTAATCGATCGTGTCATTGTAATATCACGACATATAACATCAGAATCACCTAATAATACCATAAAAAATCTACATGATGAATATCATAAAGTAAGAACATTTTTGGATGAAAGAGTCCATCCGTTCATTAATGAAGAAGAAATGAATACAAGGCTAACTGTAAATTATCAGAATTTAGACAAAAATATATCATTTCAAAATAAAGTCGATTCAACAAATTAGGTTTTGTTTATAATGATAATTTAGATTGTTTAGAANGATTTTTGAAAGTTTTTATTACACTATAGACCGAACTTTAATTATGAATAACAAATTAGGTTTTGTTTATAATGATAATTTAGATTGTTTAGAAGTGATAGCTCATACTGAAAGTTAAAGTACTTCATTTCCACAAGTTGAAGAAGACAATTAATTTAGAATTATGTAAATTAAATAACAAGAAGATACTAATGATTTCAAGATACCTTTAAATCAAAAAAATTAAAATTAAATTGTAGAAATTATTAAAATAAAAAATTTTTTATTTCATTTTTCTCAATGATTGAATAATTTTGAATTTATTTATTACTATAATGATAATAATAATAATGTGCTGTAATATTATGTTATCACTTATAATATCAGAATATTATATTATGTTATCTTTTGCACTTTATATCCTATTATGAACTCACAAGATTACCAAAACGGGGATTCCTTCTTTAAAACACAAAATAATCAATAAACTAGGGAATTAAATCTGATTATTGTATAGATTCTAAGTAACACCTATATGTAGGTTCTTAATTAAGTCCAGTTAATCAAATTTAACAATTAAGATCTACAGTTTCCAATATCACACTAGTGATCGCTACACTTAGCTTGTCAATTATAAAACCTATTTTTTTCCTATTAAAATCAGTTTTTCCCGTGATTCCAAAATACACAAAATTTGCGACACTCCACTCAAGATTCTTAATCTCTGAGACTTAATTTTTTTGGACTTGGATTATTTTCTTTAATTAAACGGAACTAAGAATAATTTTAAAATGAATAATGTTTTGGCGAATTTTTTATTTTAAATTATTTGTTCATTAAATAGAAACAAATGTGAATTAATATTTTAAACCTCAAACATTTTAAAATTAATTTATTTTTATAATAACCCAAAATCAACTTATTTATTTAATAGTAAATATTTATTATGAGCTAAAGGTTACAATTATTTTGAATCCCTCCTTGTGGGTAGGTAAATGGTCAAATTTATAAAAAAAAATACATCAAATGGTAGGTAATGACATTATGCACCTATAAAAAAAAATTATATTCATTTTTGAAAAAGATATGGCAGTTTAATTTTAAAAAAATTGAAAAATTTTCGAAAATTATCGAATTTTAAATTTGTAATTTTTTTTGAGGTTTCCCCTATTTACAGGGAACGAGGGAAATTTTTTTCAATTTTGAAGGGTAATGTCTTTGACTAGATACGATTTGTGATCTTTTGACGTATCGTTAAAAGAAATCCGTTCGGTGAGAGCTGAGAAAAAGTGGTAACAGACACAAAAAAAAAAAAAAAACACATCATAGTAAAACCAATTTTCGCATCGAAGCTAAAACTAAAAAAACACGCTTTTAAAGTACATCGACTAAAAAGTTAAAAACAATTTTTAAAATAAGCTCAAAACAATAATGAACGAAAAATACTAGTACTATTGTGATAAAAGCGTGGGTGCTTTGTGCCATATTTTTCGTATATTGAGCGCCCGACGCTTTTATCACAATAATACTAGTACTTTTAGTTCATTATTGTTTTTGAGTTTTTTTAAACTGTATTTATTTGTATTAACATTTTTTGGTATATATATCGTTACAATTTTAACATTAAAACTACCAAAAAACGATTGGAGTCGTAAAACGTAAAAAAAATGTGAACGATTAATGAAAAATATATAATCACGTCAAATTATATAAAACTTCAAAACAAAAATTAAATATTAAACATAACTAGAAACAAAATAAAACTAAACTAAACAAAATGTGAAAACATTGATGATTCATTATAATTTATTAGGTATAATTAATTTGTAAAAAGTACAATAGTTGTATTTTCACTGGCTTGCTCGTAATATTATTTGAGCAAGTTTCATTGACTGACACACTGACAATTGGCGCAGTTGACGATATTTTTGTCAAAAGAATAACAATCCAATGCATTGGACGGAAAATTCCCGCTGACTTATGGATATACTATTTTAAAAATCCCGTTATTTACTTCAAATTGAATTTTCACGCGTACGAAACAATTCTAATCAAAACTGGTGTGCATTTAAATAAAGATTGAAATCTTTATCAATATTACTTTAGTGAGTATTAAAGATCTAAAATGCCAATTATTACAATTTTTGTGTTTCTAAAATAAATTGTCAATATTATCATATTTGATGCTTTAAAATATTATTACTTTACCATATTAAGGATATTAATATGTAGGGATTAACAAAGATGTTAAATAACATGTCACAATGAATGCGTTTATATATGTTTATATGTTTTATCTTAGATGTACTGCAGTACGATAACACTCCGTGTATTTTTTTTATTCTCGCGCTGTTCGTCAATCCAGTGACACTTTTTATTTGTACTCTTTTTTTATGTACGTATAAAATTATTTTTCATTATTAAAAAGTATTAATTATTATAAATTTTAATTGTAGTATTTTGTAATAAATATAAACACCAAAACACTACAAATTGGTGACCTCTAAAATGAACAACAAATCCGATAGTACGATAGTAAGTGTGCGTGACGACGCGACCGGTAATGATGGCCGAGACCATATCGAATACGGCGAGCCCAATATGAATTCAACGCGAGCGTTTAAAATCCCAACTTTCTGGCGTACCAACCCAGAACTTTGGTTCAAACAAATTGAATCCGTTTTTTATACAACCAGAATTACAGCTGACGCAAGTAAATTTCATCATGTTGTTTCTTCTATGGAAAGTGAAATTCTTGCTCAAGTTAGTGACATAATACTCAATCCACCAGAAACGAAAATGTACGAAGCATTAAAAACCCGGCTCATCGAAAGATTTTCCGAATCTGAACAATGTCGGCTTAAAAAATTACTGACCGAAGTCGAACTCGGTGATCGGAAACCATCCCATTTTCTTTCAGAAATGCGTCAACTAGCTAATGGAAAAGTAACTGATGAAATACTCAAAATACTATGGATACAAAGGTTACCACATCAGGTAAAAACTATCATTTCAGCTAGCAACGACAAGTTGGATAACTTAGCTTCGATGGCAGATAAAATTATCGAAGTATCGGACAGCCGAAATGATTGTTTTTCCATTGCCAACATTAGTGACAAGGTCACAAACCGTCAGTCACATGAACAAGCTGACGATGCAACGACAATAAGAAAATTGGAACACCAGATCGCAGCACTCGCACAAGCAGTAGAGCGACTTAGCAACAGCAACTCTCGTAGCTACAATAGGCGTCACTCAAAATCACCTATGCGCCGAGACAATTCACGACCACGATATGATACATGTTATTATCATTACCGATTCAAAGATAAGGCTACTAAATGCAAACCACCGTGTAAATACCAGCACACGTCGGAAAACTATAAACGATCTACTGTCGAGACGACCGACGGTAGTGAGTTTCAATCTCGTCGTCTATTTATTGTTGATAAAATAACAAAAACTCAATACTTAATTGATACTGGTGCGGACTTTTCGGTTTGGCCAGCAGATCCTAAGCAGAAACGCAATAAAATAAAAGATGGTAACCCTACTTTATTCGCAGCCAACGGGTCAATAATAAAAACATACGGTGACAAATTAATTGCTGTAAATTTAGGTTTAAGACGTGTTTTTAAATGGAAATTTATTGTCGCAGCAGTCAGTAAACCAATTATAGGTGCTGACTTTCTCCACTACTTCGGCTTATTAGTGGACTTAAGAAGTAAACGCCTAATTGATGAAAATACCAATTTAGCCACCGCCGGAAAAGTTAAAAAGACGATATCCTCGGGCATCTTCGCTTTTAAAGACGATTCAGCGTACATTAAGTTACTCAAAAAATTTCCGCAAGTATTAAGAACAAACATGATCCCAATGGATTGTAAACATAACGTTACACATCATATCATCACTAAAGGACCACCACTCTTCGCTAAACCAAGACGCCTTCCTCCGGATCGACTAGAGATCGCAAAAAAAGAATTTGCTTATTTAGTAGAACAGGGCATATGCCGACCTTCAAATAGTCCGTGGGCCAGCCCATTACAACTAGTAAAAAAGAAGAACGGTGAATGGAGACCGTGCGGCGACTACCGTAGGTTAAACGCAGTCACATTACCGGACAGATACCCCATTCCACACATTCAAGACATCACACAGCGATTGCAAAATAAAAGTATTTTTTCAAAAATCGATTTGGTTAAAGCTTTTAACCATATACCAATAGAACCGTCCGATATTCCAAAAACAGCTATTACAACACCTTTTGGGTTATTTGAGTTTGTTCGGATGGGATACGGTTTTAAAAATGCAGCTCAAACATTTCAGCGTTTCATACACGGTGTTTTAAAAGACTTAGATTTTTGTGAAGTGTATTTGGACGATATTTTAATTGCATCGTCTTCAACACAAGAGCATTTGAGTCACCTCGAACGTGTATTACAACGACTCAGTGAGTACGGCATTGTGATAAATACGAATAAATGTATATTTGGAAAAGAAGAGGTACTATTTTTAGGATACATCATATCGGGTAACGGTCTTAGACCAAATCCTGAAAAACTGGAAGCGATAGACAAATATCCACGGCCGAATAATGTACAAGAGCTTCGACGTTTTTTGGCTATGTGCAATTTTTACCGCCGTTGTATCCCAAACGCAGCAAGTACACAAGCTATTCTTCACGATTATCTTAAAAACAGCAAAAAAAACGACAAAACACCAATTGTATGGACCGATCAATCAACGGGAGCGTTCGAGAAAACTAAAGAAGACTTAAAGCGAGCCACAACATTATCGTATCTAGATCCGGCCGCGAATATTCAATTACGATGTGACGCGTCAGATATGGCGATAGGCGCAGTAATAGAACAATTTAAAAACGGCGTTTGGCAACCACTTGCTTTTTTCTCTCGCAAACTTGACCAAACACAAAAAAAATACTGTGCATACGATCGTGAACTTCTTGCGGTATATGAAGCCATTAAGCATTTTCGCTATATGCTGGAAGCCCGTGAATTTGAAATAATTACGGACCATAAGCCGTTAGTATACGCATTCACACAACACTCAGATAAATTACCACCTCGACGTGCACGACAACTTGATTTTATTAGTCAGTTTACAACATCAATACGGCACGTAACAGGTACACAGAATACAGTGGCCGATGCGTTATCGAGAATAGAAACTATAAATGCACCGCCACCGCTAGATTATGACAAGTTAGCTTACGACCAGTTAGCAGACGCAGAACTATTGTCGTTATTGTCAAAACCGGAATTATCGATAAAACTAGAG